GCGAGAGCGAGCGGGCTGCGCCACGCGCGGCGAGCGCATCTGCACAAGCGTTGCCCGCGATGTCCTCCAGCTGCTGCTCGCTCTCGTCACCAGTGAGCCGATCCCCCTGGTGGCTATGCTTGAAGACCAGTTCGACATGGTGGTCACCACGCTCGGTCAGGGCACGCTTGACCAACCACCAAAGATCAGCATTGGCCCCATGCGGGGCTCTCCATGTCGTTTGCCTACATCAAGCACCAGCGGCACATTGCCAGTGTGATACCGCAAAGCGCCAGTGCAATATCTGAGGGCATATACCACTCCCGTTATCTCAGCACTTGGTACCGTCTGCCTGCCAGGGAGCCCTGCTGCCAGCCCCGCTGCCATTTCCATACCGCTCATGATGACTAAGCCGACGCCGCAGCGGCGTCGGCGAGGGTCTGAGCCGCGTGCTCCGCCCAACCCATCGCCATACACCTTTCGCACGCCTCAGCGTTCCTGCACAGCACACCTGCCGTCTCCATTTTCCCCGCTGTGATCTCCTCCATGCACTCGTCATCCTCAGGGTAGCGGTGCCGAGTCCAGCTGGTAAGGGGGGCTTCGCTTCCAACGACCCCCCCCCCGCGCCGCCGCTCGGCATGCGAGGGGGGGCAACCATGGAAAACGGCGCGCGCGACCGATGGGGGGCTGGCGGGCGACGGGGGCCAGAAGGAGACGACGCGAAGGGGGACCGGAAAGGGAGGCGAACCGAGGGACCGAGCGAGCGAGGGACAAGAGAGACAGGAACGAGGGCCGCGGCCCTGGCGGCGCGCGGACCACTCAAAGTTTTTTTTTCTGGTCCGTCCGTCCGCGGACCACCAAAAGTCCGTCCGCGCGCGGACCACTCAAAGTGGACCACCAGAGGAGGGGCGGTGGGCGGGCACGCAACTACATGCACGGGGCCACGCTGTGTCCGTCCACCGCACGCTGCACCAAACTCCGCGCGACAACGCGGTCCTGGTGGTCCGTGTTGCAGCGGCATGTCCAGATGCGGTGCAGCAGCGTCTCGTCCTCCAGTCCGCAGCGTGGACATAGGGGCGAGACGTTGAACCCCTCGTCTGGCTGCCTGGTTCTGGTCCAGGACCCTCCTGCGAGCACCTGCGTGAGCACACCTCATTGGCTGTAGTCGCCGTCGCGCTGCAGGCGTGCCAGGTGCCTCCTAGCTGGGTAAAAAGTCAGCACCGTTTTCCAACCCAGCTCCAGCATCATGTCGCGCAGCTCGCTGCTACTGCGCGCGCGAGATGCTGGCCACGAGCTCGTCCAGCAGCCCAGCGTCATCGAAGTCGATGGTCTCGCGCATCTGCCATTCTTCGCCGACGTCGGACCTCCAGCGTGTGGCCGTAAGCGCATCCCAGCCATCCTGCAACAGCGTACCGATGATTGCGGAGATGGCTCTACGAACTCGCGCCCACCTCCGGGCTGGAAGCTTCGCCTTCAGCTGCCTGTAGATGATGGCCCAAAGCCCTCTATACTCGGTGTCGGTGCTGGGGGTGGTGCATCCAAAACTGCAACCACTCCGCCAACAACTGCCTCGGGAGCGCCAGCCCTGGGTCCTCCGTGTCGTCGGTGAGGCCGAGCACCGTGGTGGGGCACCTGCCGGAGCCTTTGACCGCGACTGCCTTGGCTGCCTGCCTGCGCAAGCGCAGCAACATGCTGGGGGCGATGCCGAGCACCTGGTGGCCGTATGCGATAGAGGGCAACGCTCCGCTGCGGTTGAGCATCCTCGCGTACGTGCTGAGGTGCGCCTTGCGTCGCATGCGCACTATGCCTCGGATCCGCTTCGCTGCTCCAGTTACTCTCTTCGTATACGGCTTCTGGTCGCGACTCTTGGCCGCCGTCGAGCTGACACCCAGGTCCACTGCACTGTAAGCCGCCTGCGCAGGTACTCCGTATGCCTGGGCCCTGGCCTCCACCTGCTTGGCGACCGTCGCAGAGGATGCCACGATCACTGACTTGGCCGAGATGGTGAGCTGAGTGTTGCGGCAATGGTCGGCGAAACTATCCAGCGCATCTCCCATGGCCTCCACTGCCCTGGTCGCGGTGCCCTCTGTGCGGAAACTGGTGTCGTCCACGAACGTGCTGAGTCCCACCGTCGGGGCACCGATGCTGACCGCCTGCAAGATGCCGCTGCGTAAATAAGAAGTGGAAGAGGAAAAGGAGGAGGAGGAGGAGGACGATGAAGAGGAGGAGGAGGAGGAGGAGGAAGTTCTCCGAGGACAACAAACACTTTGTCCCCTATCAAAACCAATCACACATGTTCAAACGAGATGGCAATATCGTTTCATCACGGGCGAATCAAATATGTTACACTTCAGTGCTCTCGAAACCGACGACGTTGACCCGCGACAAAACGAAGGGCGAGGTAAATCATACTCTGGAGCCCCCCGAGCAAAATGAAGATGGCCCACGACGCCTCCAAGAGAGTTCCACAACGACCCACGAGGCCCCAAGACCGACGAAGAGGCCTCCAAGATAACCGAAGAGGCTCCCAAGACGGCTCCAAGGAAGAACCCAGACGGGGGACCCGAACGAACATGTCGAGCCCTCGGCCTCAGATGCTCTCGGGAAGCCCCCAGAGGCCCCTCAGAAACACCCCAAGAAACCCAGAGAAACCTCCAAGAGATCCCCAGGTAGCCTCAAGAACCTCCCACGAGCCACCCAAGCGGCCCCCAAGACCATCCCAGAAAACACACACACACAGGAACCCCCAAGACGACTTCAAAAACAAATCCCGACTCTGGGGATAACACATGTACGCCCAAAGAGGCCTCCAAGGAATCCACCAAGAGACATCCCAAGAGACTCCGAGAGGCAGTCCAAAAGCTTCGGCCCTTCTGCTGGCCCTCCTCCTCCTCCTCCTCCTCCTCCTCAGCCTCTTCCTTCTCATTATCCTTCCTCCTCCATTTCCTGCTTCCTCCTCCTCCTCCTCCTCCTCCTCAGTCGACAGATAACGGCTGCCCCTTTCTTGCTCCTACACATCCCTGATTGTCCCAACTCTCCTGGACATCGGTTCGGAGACACCCCGAGGGCTCGCTTCCTATGTTGTTTCTGGGGACGTCCGCCACTCACGCTTCTCTCCCTCTCCTGACCCTCCTTTTCCTCTTTCGGCCACGGACACGTTACCCAAAAGACAGTTGGGCGTCCATCGTCGTCGTGAGCGTCATAGACGTCATCGTC